ATTTGATATTAAATTTTATAAATTTTATATTTTTAAGACTTACTATTTCTCGTAAAATATATGTCTTTCTTTTTAATGTTACAATTAATATTGATCATGTATTAAGCAAAAACTAAAAATGAACTAACATGATTTATGTAATAATAGTGATAAATAAATTAGAAAGTTTTGAACTTGAGAGTTTTATATAATATAATAGATATTTTTTATTTAAATTCACATAAAATAAAAGATAAAGACAAAATTAAAAAACCGAATTGACAAGTTAATAATAAATAAGCCTCAAAATAATTTTTACTAAATCAGAAGAGAAGTAAAAAATAAATGTTACTACCTCTCTCCCCTAGTCACGGTTATTCCTTTTTCTTTAATAATAATAAAAAAAAAAAATGGTGTCTTAGTATTTCAGAATGTTACCTAGTTACGATCTTCTTGCCTTTTGAATGGCCTCAATTTGCCTCTCTTCATGGAGCTCGCTGGCGGCTACAAAACTCATCAGCTCCAAGATTTTGGTGTCGTATTCCATGATGGCCTTGCATAATTTCCTCTCCTTCAACATCATGAGCTTCTAATTAGGTCCTCCGGACCCAACATCTTGTAGTTAATTAAAAACAATAAATTTAAGAACGCAAAATAGAGGGCAGTAAGGCTGAGTCCAAATTCATGCTCAGCACAACAGTCCCAAAAATTCCATTTGTAGACTAAGAAAAAGTGCAGCCCAAAACAGATCCTTTATTATAACAAGACCGTGGAAAATATGGACGGGAACAAGCCCAATACTGTCGAGTTTAGGACCAGGTTATCTAAGAATTCTTGCAATTAACCTACAAAAATTTGAGACTTCTAAAATTTCAGTTTGTAACAATCATTCAATTATATATTTGATTTTTTTTTTATACGTCGAGATTAAGACTTGAATTTGTATACTAAATCATCCAAGATCAAGTAACTGAGAAAGAAATCTACAAAATTATCATTTTGATTATATCTCATGATTTTATTATTTTATTATATCGTGTTAGAAATATTCGTAACACCATTGCAATGTAAAACTTTTTTAGAGGTCACTACGATTGCAATTTCAAATTAGATGAGTTTTTTTTTTAGGAGTTTATTTTGCATAGCTGTTAAATACTTTTGAATAAAAGTTTCTACAAAAATATATATTGAATCATAAATTCATATAAAA